CAAATTAGTGTTTTCACATACTTTCCCCCTGGTTTGATGAAAAGAACCTTCAATTCTTCTTGCGTTTTGAAGATCCGGCAGCCTCACTGATACCTTGCATGTTGCCACAAAGTTCTTTGATGCGCCTTATATTGTTGCGTCTCTCCTCTGTTTGGTTATCATTTGAGAAGTGAGCAGCAACAGTTCCTATAGCCTCTGTTCCATCCAATCCTGAGCTGGATAGGTGCTGCGCTGAGTTCTCCGGATTTCTTTGCTGTGCTTCAAGGATTAGATTAGTCATGTTCAGATGAGAAGGGATATAAGAGACTTCTCCTTCTTTGACTGCAATGGGGAGTTCTGGTATCAAGGATGGACTGTGTTGTTGAAGAATCACTTCCATCTTGCGATTTCCAGACTTTGCGCCAAGAAGTCTGAACAGTTTATGTGCTTCCTTCTGATTGTCAATGATCACCTTCAAGTAGTCTTTGGTCACTACTTGATTTGCTGAAGCTACTGCTAGGGCTGATCTGATGTCCATTTGGAGAAGAGACATCTGTTTTTGTAGATTAACTATGACACTTGCTATTTGCTCCTTGACGTTGTTGATCTCTTTGAGTTGAAGTTGACTGTCAGAGGCATATATTTCCATTGTGTTGCTCACAGTTTTACTCAATAGAGAGATAATCTCCAGAGTCTTGTGCACTGATTTGCTTATTTCTTTGAGATCTGCGCTGTGCTTCTCTTCAGATTTCTCTATGAGCTGGGTATACCTGACTTCCATTTGCTCTATCTCTTGCCTAAAGGAGGCATGTTGAGATGCTAGGGCTGATTCAATCAGCCCTTGGACCTTCTTTGTTCAGATTTCCGGTATCTCATCCGGAAGTGTAGGGGTGGAAGAGCTTTGGAAATGAAAATTGGTTACCTGATGAGAGGATGGTGTTCTTTGGAAGAGTTGCATAGGAAGAGATTCAGCATCTTCTTGTACATCTTCTTCATCAGTGATCTTTAATGTTCTCTCAGATTCTCCCTTTTCTTCATCAAGCACAAAATTTGATATATATCTAGAGAGAGAATCACTATCTTCAGCTTCATTTTGTTCTTCAAGAATGGCTATTGGAGTTTTAGAGAACTCCAATTCTGCCATTTGAGTTTCCTTCTCAGCTTCTCCAGAATTCCTTTACACTTCTACAGCTTGCTCCTCTTCATTTGTTTCTGGAAAAGTTGACTGTTCCAGAATTTCTGCTAACTTCTCCGGGATCTCAGTTTCAGTAGGATTGGAGATCTCACAAGGAGTTGTGAGAATCTCTAAAGCTTGAGACTGGATTAGTTGCTGAGATTCTTCTTCTTCTGCTGGTTTTTGGTTTTGTTCTTGTGGGGAAGAGGCTACCTTCTCTTGGATAGCTTCAGTCAGAACCATTTTAGAAGCATGTGAGGTTTCCTGAAAAGCAGGTGAGGTTTCCGTTTCAAAGGCAGGTGAGGTTTCCGGAAATGTTTGGAAGTCCTCAGCTGTTGCTTCCAAAACTGCTTGTGCTTCAGAAGTGAGAACCACCTGTTCTTTTGTGGCTTTAGAGAAGACTGGTTTGTAGACTGAAGGATCTTCATCATCTACTTCAAATTCTGAAATTGGTGAGTTGTCTAGGTATTCCAGATGCAGGTCTTCATGGTTCCTTTGCCATACCCAATAGTCATCCAAGATTTCTTCACAGTTATGGTTGACTGGTAATCCTAAGCATTTCTTGATGATCTTCTCATTCTTCAGCTGTTGGTCCCAATCCATCAGTTGCTCTGCTGAATTTCCAACTTTCCATGCTCTCCAATCATAGTAGAGCTTAGTTTTGGTAATGAGAGAGTTGATGATGAAGGCTCTCTCCTGGGTGATGTCATCGGCATGACCTCCACTTCCACATTCGAGGCAGGCGATGACCAGTTCCAAAACCAACTTATAATCGTTGTTTAGATCTGCTTCCTTCGTTGGGCCAGAAGGAATTTGCCCAGAGATTCCAATGATGTTCCAGTCCAGATTTTTGGCTGGAAATTTCCCAATTTCAACTCCAGAATTGGGAAGGCGAAGCTTCACTTTCGAACCTCCAACAGTGGACTTGATGACCGGAAACGTCCTCTGTGGGTTCTTCTTTGAATGAGCAGTTTTGACCTCTCCATTTCTGTAGAATTCAAGAACTTCTTCCTCGATTTTGAGGCGAATCTCCATTTGAAGAAATTCGGAGAGTTCTTGAGTGGCTATCATTTCCAGATAGCTTTGAAAGAATGTCGGTGATGAGCACTTGGCTTCTAACTTTTGGAAGTGGACATTTGCACCGACAACCTTCATTTTCTCAGAAATTTGAGTGAGAATTTGAGAAAGAAAAGACCTAGGGTTCTTGAGAGTTTTTCGCGAAGAGGACGACGAAAAATTTTGAATGGGCGGTTTAGATCTGAATAGTGGCCATTGGGTTTTATTTGAGCGATTTATGCGGCTAGTGGCGATTGGGTTTTTGACTATTCCCAAGGCCACATGCCTATCCATTATATTGACAAACGTGGAAAGTGGACTGCCACGTGTACCGCACTTAGTCTAATTGAATTAGACCAATTTTGTGAAGGAAATCGGAAAACTTGGCTTCACTTAGTGGTTTTGTGAAGATATCCGCCAGTTGTTCTTCAGTTGAGATGTACTCAATTTTGATATCTTTCTTTTCCACATGATCTCTGATGAAGTGATGCTTGACATCAATGTGCTTAGTGCGAGAATGATGCACTGGGTTTTGAGAGATGGCTATAGCACTTTGATTGTCACAAAAGATCGTCACTTCCTTTGTCTTGACTCCATAGTCCAGTAATTGTTGCTTTAGCCACAAAATCTGAGCACAACAACTACCAGCAGCAATGTACTCTGCTTCTGCTGTTGATGTAGAAATGGAGTTTTGTTTCTTACTGAACCAAGAAACAAGATTTCCACCAATGAATTGACAAGTACCAGATGTACTTTTCCGGTCAACTTTGCATCCGGCAAAGTCGGAATCTGAGTATCCCACGAACTCAAATGAATTGCTCTTAGCATACCACAAACCCATGTTCTGAGTTCCTTTGAGGTATCTAAGAATTATTTTAGCTGCTATCAGATGACTTTCCTTTGGTTTTGACTGGAATCTGGCACAAACACCTACTGCATATGAGATATCCGGACGGCTTGCAGTAAGGTAAAGTAGAGATCCGACAATTCCTCTGTAGAGAGTTTGATCTACATCCTTTCCATCTATATCCATATCAAGCTTGGTGGATGTACTCATGGGGACAGAAACGGATGACTTCTGATCTACTTTGAACTTCTTGATAAGATCCCTTGTATACTTGGCTTGATTGATGAGAGTGCCTTCACTTCTCTGTTTGATTTGAAGGCCAAGGAAGTAGTTGAGTTCCCCCATCATGCTCATCTCAAATTTTCCTTGCATGAGGGTTGAGAACTTGGTGCAGAGATTTTCCTTAGTTGAGCCAAATATGATGTCGTCCACTTAGATTTGGACTAATAGGAGATCTTCTCCTTCTTGTAGTTTGAACAATGTCTTGTCAATGACTCCTTTGGTAAATCCATTGTCTATAAGAAATTGAGACAATGTATCATACCAAGCTCTTGGTGCTTGTTTGAGTCCATATAGCGCCTTTTTGATTCTATACACTTGATCTCCCTTAGTGTGTAACTCAAATCCTGGAGGTTGTTCCACATAAACTTCTTCCTCTAGGTTTCCGTTGAGAAATGCGCTTTTGACGTCCATTTGATAGACCTTGAAGTCCTTATGAGCAGCAAAGGCTAGAAATAGCCTTATAGCTTCAAGTCTAGCAACTGGAGCGAAGGTTTCAACAAAATCTATACCTTCTTCTTGACAATATCCTTTTGCAACTAACCGGGCCTTGTTTCTGACAACAACGCCGTTTTCATCCATCTTGTTCCGGAAGACCCACTTTGTCCCAATGACATGTTGATGAGTAGGTCTGGGAACAAGTTTCCAGACGTCATTTCTAGAAAATTGGTTTAGTTCTTCTTGCATTGCATTAATCCAATCAGAATCAGCTAGAGCTTCTTCAATATTCTTTGGTTCCACTTGTGAGATGAAACAAGCAAGCATGGCTTCTAGATTCTGCTGGGCACTCCTTGTGCGAACGCCAGATTGAATATCTCCAATGACTTGTTGAGGAGGATGATCCCTTAACCAACGAAGATTGTGTTGATTGGGATTGACTGGTTGATTTAGTTCAGCTTCTGGTTGAAGAATAGAAGTTGTTGGTGTTTCCGGATGGATTGGCACTGGTTCGCCATTTCCGGAATTGTCACCGTTTGAGAGATCTGGAATGTTGGAAGGCTGGCCAAAATTTTCGGAAGGCTCAGCACTGTCTGAATCCAGATTTCTCTGTGAAGTCTTCAGTGGTAGACTTCTGAATGGAATGAACTCTGTGGGCTTCATTCTATCTCCTTCATTGACTTCTTCATCCTTGTCTGATAGATCCAGAACCTCATGATCATGCTTTGATGGTTTGTCAACCACATGTTTTTCATCAAAAATGACATGTATTGACTCTCCAGTGATCATGGTTCTTTTGTTGAAGACTCTGAATGCCTTGCTCACCATGGAGTATCCTAGGAAGATGGCCTCATCTGATTTCTCATCAAAAGTGTTCAGATGATTCTTCCCGTTGTTTAACACAAAGCACTTGCTCCCAAAAATATGGAATTATGATATATTAGGCTTTCTCCTGTTCCATAGTTCATAGGGAGTTTTGTTGTGCCTTTTATAAATCATACTCCTATTTTGAGTATAGCAGGCTGTGTTAACAGCTTCGGCCCAGAACCTCTTTGGTAAGGAAGCTTCTGCTAGCATGGTTCTCACTGCTTCCTTCAGGGTTCTGTTTCTTCTTTCAGCTACACCATTCTGTTGAGGTGTCCTTGCTGCGGATGTCTGATGAAGAATTCCATTTTCTTCACAGTAGTGGATGATGATTTCATTCAGGAATTCTGTGCCTTTGCCAGATCTGATCTTCTGAATGGTCTGACTTGCTTGGTTTTGAATCAGCTTCATGCAGTTGGTGAGTTTCCCTTGAGTCTCCTTCTTGCTATTGAGGAAGATTGTCCACGTGTATCTTGAGTAATCATCAACTACCACCAGGACATATTTCTTTCCACTTAGACTTATTGGTGTGACAGGGCCAAATAAGTCCATGTGAATAAGACTTAATATCCTTGTAGTTGAGGGTGCCGATTTTGCCTTGAAGGTGGACTTGACTTGCTTTCCTTTTTGGCAAGCATCACAAATGCTTTCCTTTCTGAATGCAGCTTTGGGAAGACCTTCTACTAGCCCTTCTTTGGACAGCTTGTTGAGAGTTTTGAAGTTGAGATGACTCAACCTCTTGTGCCAAAGCCATAGAAGGTTAGTGTCACCTTTGCTGATTAGACATGCTTCCTTGACATTGTCCCACATTACTTCATAGATGTTCCTGATTCTCTTCCCAGTGAGAATGACTTCATTTGTGGAGATGTTCTTGAGAGATGCCATGTCCTTGCAGAATTCCAAGGAGTAACCTTTATCACAAAACTGACTTATGCTAAGAAGGTTATAGTTGAGACCTTCTACATAAGATACAGCTTGGATGGTTAGTCCCTTGTACACCAGATTTCCTAGCCCTTTAGTAAGGCCGAA